CCATTAGGTTTTCCCTGAAATTCCACATGATGCTGTGTTTTTCCCCTTCCTCGAATGGCACTGAGCATACACACCCCCCCACCAAAAAACCCATGTGGAAAAGCAGGTAACGTGACACTCTCTGCCCAAGACTGAAATCACACCCCTGGGTACGTCACGGGGTGTCATCAGGAAGAATATCACCACACAAACTCTGAAATTCTAGAAAAATAAAGGGTAATCTCTTCACAACTACACCTTCCAAGGGCGTGGCCTATCTGAAAAGAGGCTTAAGAAAACTGAGGGCCTTTAAAGGGTATTTGCAAAATAAAAATATGAGTTAGAGGTTGGGAAGACAAGGAAAGGATGGTGAGCCTTGTTTTTTTGTTTTGTTTTTTCTTTTAAAAGAGACAATGGTCCTTCTGTATTACAAACACTTAGCTGCTGACAATAAAGCAGCAACAACCCAACAGCCACCCCCTCATGCGTCCAGCAAATAAGACTTGTTCTGTTTTTTGATCATGAGGGTGCCATCGGTTCCAGGGTCCTCAGAGCAATCTTTGCTCCGCACATGACCCTGGCTGTCACTAACTGCCGTTTCCCCACGGCCTGATGCCTGGGGTGTCTGCCTCCACGGGCACTAGTATGCAAACCTGCCTCCACACCGTGCCAGGCTCTCAAGTGCCGCTGGCATCTCTGATGAGAGCGTGTGAATAAGACAAAACAGTCATAGCAAAGCGAGTCCCTGTTGCAAAGCCCCGAGAGGCTGGTCCTCACTGCTGTCTCCACTTCGCAGATGAGAAAACTGATCCCCCAGGGCTTGTTCCAAATATGTTATATTTCTGACATGCTCAGACGTGAGACGTCTCTTTCGGCCAAACCTTTTGTTTAGAATGAAGCTCTCTGGAGACGGGGTAAGGCTGGTCGGCGGGCCAATGGCAATCCAGGATGGAGAACAAATTCATCACTCCCCTGGACGACTAACCAAAGAGGCATCTGCCTGTGCCTTTATCCGAGTGTCAGGTGCTGCACTGGGGTGGGTACCCAAGAGTTTTGAAATGGAAATGGGGACCGGAAATCTACCTGGCCTTATTTTCCAAGCCAAAGCACCATGGGGCCCCCGGCCTATAATTTATATTGTAAGCATATCAAATGGTTCGGTACTTCTCAGTGTGAATGTGGGATCTTGTTAAAATCCGGGTTCTGATCCAGTAGGTCTGAGATGGCACCTAAGAGTCTGCATTTCTAACAAGCCCAATTTACTGGTCCATGGATGACGCTTTAACTATCAAAGCCTGACCTAAGAGATCTCATTAAAAATGCAGACTCTCGGGCCTCCTCCCAGACTTAGTAGATCTAAGTCTGCATTTTCATACAATCTAAGGAGAAGTATATGCTTTGAGGAACACTAGGCTGAAGGGGTGCCTGACTGGCGGGGTAAAGGGGGGATTAAATAAACTTCCATTTGTTGTGTTGTTGGCATCACAAACCGTCTTCAGCTGAGTTTGCATGTGTGTTTGAGAAAGAGACTCACTGTTTTGAATACAATGGCCTTGGCAGATGGTGACAATGACCGGGTCTTTTGATCTCTGTTGATTTGGACTGCGCAGCACCCAGAAGCTAGGAGGTTCCCAGTGAGTACCTTTCATAAATAACAGATGGAAAGCGCTGCTGGTACTGCTACGGCAGCCTCATGCAGAAAAACTACTTGGGCTAAATAAAATGTCGTGGTGGCAACAACACATCATTATTCTCTGTCCTGTCACCTCCAGGAAGAAAAGAACAAGTCATAAGTTTTGCCCCCTGGGTAGAAACTATAAGCAAATTCTATGTTATGAGCAGCACCCACTACGATGCCAGCTCTCAATAAATATGTGAAACCAATGGCTCTTTAAACCAATAAACACTTACTGAAGGCCTTTTTACATGCCAGACATGGGGCTAAAGCACAAAGGATACAGAGGTACTGAAAACTTGGTCCCTGCCATTGAAAAGTCCACAATTTGACATCTATTTTTGAGGTCAGTTTCTTGGCTTTGGCTTTTCAAGCTACAGAGTTAAATGCACCAATATAAATAGTGATGTGATTCCTTCACAGTATTACCCAGGTTAGGGATGAAAAAAGATGATAAGGGGTGAGGTCTTCGGAAAGAGAAAAATGGAAATCCAAATAAACAGCATAACATTGACAGGAGCCCCATGTGTTCTCCATATTTTCTGCTTAATAGATCAATTATAGCAATAAAATATGATGTGCACTATAAAAATATGCAGAGAGAATTCAGCCCGGCTGTAAGGGAATGTTGACAAGGTTAACTAAGCAACGCTGGCAAGGGAAGTTCTTCCTTTTCTTTTCCTATTGATGTGATCTGCCTTATTAGTTAAAAAATCAGAGTCCTTGCCAAGGATAAGGCAGGAATAAAACAAATCTCCCGTTCAATCCTGAGAGCCACAGGAGGGTGGGCAGGACAGGGAGAAGAGGGACTGATGCTGATATTAGTTGGGGGCAAAGAGGTTAATATCTCATCTGCGGGATGAAGGATTCCTCCTGGCAGGACCAGCTGGCAGGGCAATTCATTACAGGAAGGCCAAAAGACAAATGCCCCAGAAGTATCCCACAAGAGGAAG